AACTTTTGAAGTGATAATCAAGATAGCCCAGTACAGACAGTTTGATACTGGGCTATCTTGATTATCACTTCAAAAGTTTTTTTTCTCTTACTTAATTGGCCTCTCAGAGTTGGTAAGACAACTCCCACCTGTTCATGCTCTCTGTATGTGTGTATATATATCTCCTCAATGTTTCACTCTATATGCATCCGAAGAAGTGGGTTGTAGCCCACGAAAGCTTATGCTCTAATAAATTTGTTAGTCTCTAAGGTGCCACAAGTACTCCAATAGAAAGAGGAAGACTGGGCACTGCGCTCTTCCCCAGGGGACTGGGATGAGCAGCTGCAAGGGTGGAGAAGTAGGAAGGATTTCATGCTCCTTGTTCCCTCCAGAGGTCATGGGGAAGAGAGATCTGTGTGCCTGAGAGAGAGTTAGGGCCCCTACCTGTCATTTATTCCATTAATGCTGCCCTCTGCACTAGCTCTTTAATGAGATTATTTGCTTCCTGCCGGTTAAGCTCCCTGGCTTGGCCTGAATTAGATGCATTATTGCAATGACCTTTTGACCCATCCAGCAGCAAGCCCAGATGACACAGCAGGCAGGGCCCTTGCAGGACCCTGTGAGAGGAGCAGGTCTAGCCACTGCACCAAACCACCCTCACCTTCTGGAGTCCACCAAGCTCCTCCCATAGGTTCCAGCACAGCACCTTTCTCAGATCCGCCTGCCACACCCTGCCCCCTACCAGATACTCCTGCTCCTACCCTGCACCCACAGAGGGAAATGCAAAATGCTCGTGAGCTGTTATTCAGTCCATTCCTCAGCACCCTCCCACTACAGTCATTAGGGACTGAGGCCCCAAACAGCCAGGCAGGCACCATGGTACAGAGTTACTGCCCAGGCCCTGGTTCACCGTCACTGGAGCTCCCCACTGGCCTCCGCATTTACCTCTGTATTCTCTCCCCCTACTGCTGGGTAAGGAGTGCAGACAGGGCTTAAATTCTCAGAGTATTTCCCAGAGTCCACCATGCCCCCTCTTCCCCCATTCGCTACAGGGGGTATCATGGGGCTCAGGGCTTCAGCTCAGCAGGGGGCACCCTGAGGCCCCGCATGCCCCCGAAACTGCACACACACCCCGAGGGCCACGGTCCCCCAGTTGAGAACCGCAATAGCATCAAGCTGGAGTCAACGTTTGAAAATATTTACCGGAGCTCCACTCTGGACAGCTCCAGCTGAATTTAAGCCCTGAGTGCAGGTTTTACTGGCTCTTCTGTGTTCTGGGCACAGCCTGAGCCCATAGCCAGTGCAGGGAGGGACTGGTGGGGGAGAGATGTTGGGGGACAGCTGATGAGGGGCAAGCAAGTTGTTTGGGTTTTGTTCTGCAGTTCACATGCTGGAGTGTGTCAGCTCACACAGACCCCCAAGCCCCTTTACTAAGTGCCTGTGCCTAGGGAGATCAGTGCGCTTAATGGAAAGAGCTGAGTCCCCCACACTGGGAACCTGAACTCATTCAGAGGTGAAGAAGTGAGATTCCAGGAAAAGTACGTGGCAGGAACTGGTGCAATGACCTCTCTTGGCAGAGATTCAAGTTGTGTGAAGCAGATATGGGATGGGATGGGCTGCCTCCCATCCTAGCAGAAAGCACAGGTCACTGTTTGTATAACGCTGGATTTATTAGTTATGAAACAGCCTCAGCCTGGGAGTCTGCAATGAGAACAACCTTTCAGCCTTCTACTTTCTCCACCCCATGGGATAGTCCCCAGCCCAGTGCTGCCAAGACACCACCAGACATCACCCTAGGCTTCTTCTGTGAGCAGAAGGGGCTGCTCCCCTGGCACTAGAGCACCCCCAGTTTTACTAGAGGGAGGGGGACTGGGTGAGAGTGATGCAGAATGCACACAGATGACACAGGCTCATGCGCACATCAAAATTAGCGTCATCAGCTTTAGTATCAGGAGGGACTCACTGTAAGAAAAAATTACTGCCTAGTGTCTCCCTCACATTTGTTCTTCCTTCTCTTGCCTTCCCCCTTCCCTCCACTCCTCTCTGCCCTTTCTCTGGGTGGCCTGAGGCCTCTTTCCCTCCCTTTCTAGAGAACACGTCATACTGTCAGTTGATTTTTGCTGTTCCCTTTTCCCTTGGACATTCTTCTCTCTGCTAATTAAGGACCTGAGGGGCACATTCGCCACCCTGGTTATTGGCCCTTTGATAGTTAATAGCTGGAGGAGTGAGACTGGCACATTTCTTTACTCTTCATTCTGAAGTCCTTCCTTTCTCCTCACTTTATCTCACTATTTCATCTGTCCCGCTACGGTCTCCCTCTCCCAGCCCCCTCAAGTTTACACGCCCCCCCCTTCTACCCTGCCCAACTCAGCAGAATGTGTGAGAGGGCACTGCATATTCTCTCACTTCCCCCATGCAGAGGTGGAGATGGAATTCAGGGGCACATATTTTAGAACCTAATGGGGGCACCCCTCCTCCCCATCCTGTTCCTCATGGCTGCCGTTAGCCTGTTAACCCAGAGTGAGGAGAAGCCCTAGCCCAGGGGACAGCAATTGTAATTACCCTGATCATCTCCAGCCACAAGGATCCAGGAGTGTCATGCCTAGTTTCAAGAGTAGTGAAGCCAAATGCAGACATTTTGCACCAGATAGAACTAAACTAAAGTATTCCAGCAGAAGCAGGAGCTGAACACAGCTCGCTCCAGGCCTCGAGAATTGTCCACATGAGGCCATTGGGGATCAGGCTCTGCCTCAGTGAACTGGTCAGATGTCCAGTCCCTGCCAGCCAACTGACTGATTTGTCTTCAGAATAGTAAGGCCATGCACCCTGAACTCCTTCCCATAGTGACAAGTGGAGACTCACCACCGAGTGATGGAAAAGCAGCTCCCAGGACTGGTGAAGCTTCTGATTACACAACATATCCACAAAATCTTGGAGAAAATATCCTGTGAAAGAAGAGAGTTCCCATCACCAGGAATCCCCATAGCAACTCAGTGCCACTTACCACTCCAGAGGAGAGAACTGGGTGTGAGCTCAGTGCAGGAGCCCCAGAAGGGCTGAGTGCTGAGATATCATGGTGACGAGCACGGTATAAAAACCCACACCAGAGCCAAAGAGCTCTGCACTTGAGGAGCCCTCGGGCTCTGCGTGAGCGCCGTGCTACCTTCAGGAGTGCTGGGACCACAGATCCCAGGGTAAAGAAAAACATATTTTGCATTTCAGGTACCTCCCATGATTCAAAGATGTTGGAAAGGAAGATACCTACTAGATCATCCCGTTCATCACCTTAGAAATGCATGATCGCTCCCTAACACACCTCTGCGAGTTTCTTAAAACTGGACTAGACGTGCTCGCGTGTCTAGTGGCTTTCCTGGCCTTAGTCTGCACTCTGCCAGGACTGTTCCTGGGAAAACCATTGGCCTCACTCTCCTCCCCACCCAAACCCCAGCCGCTGCACCTAGCATCCTTCTCTATTGCCTGGGCCATAGCGTCCATTGCCTGGCTGTCACAGTCCCTCCCTATCCCCAAGGGTTTATGAACAAACAGAACCATATGACACACTCTCTTGAAGGAGTATGGTCAGTTTCAGCAGTACCTCCTGGAAGGGGCAGGGAAAGGAGACACCAGGGTCCCATCCCAGACTGGGTGTTTTGGGGGAGGAGTGTCCCAAGTAATTTTCATACAAGTAATTCTGCGCATCTGGAATTACCAACCGTTGGGGGTAGGCAGACGAGAACTAGACACCCCAATACACAATCCCTCCCCACCCAGCAAAAGAGTTGGTTGGTATGAACTGTGGGGTTAACGTAACAGCGTAGCAGGAGAAGGCAGGGGGATCCGTAGCCACTTGAAAGTTCCTGTTCGACTCCAAGGACCACCCCCCATTAGAAAGTGTGAGCAAAATCTGAGTGTGGAGCCCCAGCACACTGAGACCCTGCAGCCCTTGCCACCAAGCTTGGAGCCCAGGAACCTGTGTCTGAGAGTCAATGGCACTGACACCTCACCCACTCCAAAAACATCAGACACAGGAATACTGAGCAAGTTGCAACCTCAGTCCTCTCCACCCCCACACAAGGTCTGTGTTAGCTTCCTTTGTGGGTGAGGAGATGACCGAGAGGTGAACTGACTCCAAGGCCAAAGAGGGAGTCCAAAAGTCCAGGATCAGAACCAAGCTCTGTGCTCAGTGCCCCTTTCACCACACACACACACACACACACACACACACACACACACACACACACACAC